GAGGGTGGTTCGCCCTGGGGCGCCCACGCCTCGGCCCGCGGCCCCCGCGCTCGAGATCCAATGCGCGGCGCCGCCCGCGAGGGGCCAACGACGCGCCCCCCCCCAATATTTTTCGCCAGCGCGCGCCCGATAATGGGCGCCCGCTGCCGTGGCCATGTCAAGCGACATTGAATTGCACTGCGTGCCCGTCAACTCCTGCGCCCCCTCAGGCGGGGGGCGCCCCGCGCCAGTCGGGTAGATCCTGTCGACGCCCTGCCCCAAGGCGCAGGCTGCCTCCCGCGCCTCTACGCCGGGCCATAGCCAGGACCGCAGGCGCTCGGCAGACCCGCGAATGTGGCAACAGGGCTCAAACAACGATTTCTGGTCAACTGCTGGGACGTGCAATCGACCATGCCACGTGCGCACTTTGAAGGCAATGATTTCCGCGAGGTGATGCAGAAAAGCGCCATGGATGGCCAATTTCTCCGATGCCTGCGAATTGCCCTCGGTCGACTTGCGCAGCATTGGCAGCGCAGCTCCCGTGACCACCCAAGTCCTGAACACGCGCAACGAATGGTGCATGGCCCGACCGCGAGCCCGTCGCGTCGCGCACGCGGCCTCGCTGACCACGTCGGAGAGCACCTCCATGGATGCAGCCATGGGGCCACGAAGACTTGAGAGCCAAGAGCCCCGATCCCACCTGCCGTGGAACAGCTCGTGCGCCGCTGCAGGGCAGCCGCCGTTAATGCGGGCGGTGGCCTTCTGAATGCTGAGACACTGCCGCCGCCCTTTGGACCTCTCGCGGTGCATGATGATGAACCGACTCAGCGCCGCGCGCGCTCGACTCCACCATGCAAAGACACGGTCGCGCATCGGCCGGGTGCGGCTCTGCTCTGGCAACGCACCTCGCTGGCGACATGCATGGGTCCTTCGGGGAGAGCGCGTCTCTGCATCGGAGACGCGGGCCTGTTCCGGCGTCGTGACCTATGCCGCGAAGATCCCGCGCGTCTCAGCGACAGCCTGGCGCCCGACCTCGCAGGGGGTCGAGTCGCGCGTGACTGCCGAGTCGCATTGGGCGGAGACAAAGCCAATTTGGGTTCGATGTTCGAGCCAAAGCTTCGAAGGAGTGGAGAACAAGAGAGAGGCAGAGTGAACGGCGCCAACAGCAGCAGGGGCTCATTTGTCGAGGCGCCGAGGGGTCCGAATTAAACGCGCTCGGGGCCATGGGGCCCGCTGAACCACAGGGGCCCTCCATGGGCCTGGCTGGGCCCTGAGAGGGCCCCGCGGCGCAGGCATATATATATATATATATATATATATATATATATATATATATATGTATACACATGAAAACTAATATTAAAAAGGGAGGCGAGCGGCAGAACAAGCTGCGCCCCCCGGGGCCCTGTCACAGGCCCGAATTTCCGTCTCGCCAGCCCGCGGGCCCTCCTCCAATCCAGGGCGCAGCTCGTCACAAACGTGTAAACCTTCTCGGGCATTCTCTGCGCTGCTTCGTTCCAGCGGCCGGGGATTCGCGGCGGCGACATCCCGCGCGGCGTCGCCGCCAGGGGCCAGCGACGCCAAGGCCGCGACGCCCCCGAAAAGAACGGCGCGCTCGGAGCGAAATTTCTCGCAAGCCGCGTCCTTCTGGCAACGACGAACCTGCCTGGCCGCCGCAGACTTGGAACTTGGATGGGGGGGGGGGGGGGGGGTCCGCGGCAGCTTGGCTGGGAGATTCAGGGCGCGCGCCAGGAGATGCGCGCCCGACCCTCGAGGCTTCGTCGGCAGGCGCCGCCCTGTCTCCGCGGCGCGGCAGCGACGACGACAACACTGCAAACATATGAACAGAAAGAAGAACTGACTACGGCGCGGCCCCTCTCCGCGCCAGCGCTCTCGACGCTGGCTGCGCGCGTCGTGGAAGCGTCGGATGCCGCGGCAATGCGCCCCCCCGCTCGCCGGGCGAAACCACGGCGAACCAAATTGTCTGACCTCGTCTTCCAGTCCGCGAGAACTGCCCGGAGAGGCTGCAAGCCGCCGAGGAGCGCCCCGAGCTCGCCGAAAGCCTGAAGGCCCCTTCGAGACAACTTTCGCCCGAGAGGCTGCAGAATACCATCGTCGCGAAAAAAATCGCCCCGCATGTCCACCGCCGACGCGCGGAAGCCGCCCGGCGCCCGGTGATCTCCAGCGCGGAGCGGGCCCCAGTCAGCAGCGCGCGCATGGACGGAGCGAGGCCCTCTCGTTGGCCCTGTGCTCGTTGGGCGTGTCCGCGAGTGCCCAGCCGCTCGGGCGTGCTGGATTGCCCTGGGGCCGCGAGCCTGCCTTCTTCGGGGCGCCCATGCTCTTCTCCGCATCAACGTGGGACTCGGCGACGACCACGTCATTGAAATAGCTCATGCTGCGTCGAAGAGATACGGGGCCCCCGCGCAAGCTTGCCATCTTAAGCGATGCTCGCGTCGAGGAGCCTGCGTGCTTCATTGCCGGGAGAAGTGTGCAACGACGGAGACGGACAGGCACCCCTTGCCCAACGCGATGGCGTCGGCCTCTGCGCCGACGAGCCGCCGCGCGCCCCAGTCGAAGGGCGCGTCGTGGAGCACCTCCACGGCTGTGCCGCTCACGCGGCGCGGGCGCTGCCGAAGCCGGCGGCGGGGCCTCGGCCTGCTTCGCCAGCTTCGCCGCCTCGAAAAACGCCGGGCCGCCTCCCCATGCCTCCTGGCATCCGACTCTGCTGCTGCTGCGGTCGTTGCCGCGCCCGGGGCTGGGCCCGCGCCGCCGGCCCCGCTGCCGCCGGCCGTTGCGCCCCCGCCTGCGCCTGGGGGCCCCTCGGAGCCTTCTGCTGCGCCGGCGGGGGCTGAGGCAAGGTTGCCGGGCGCCAGACGCCGCCTCGCCGTCTGCGCGCCGCTGCTTCTTCTGCGCGCGCCCTGCGACGGCCTTGCGCCTGGCGGCGGCCTTCTGCCTCCGGTCCTTGATCTCCGCGCGCTTCCCGTCGAGGTTGGTTCGCGCCGCTTGAAGCTGCGCCTCGAGTGCCTGCAGCGCCTTCATCTCGCGCCCGTCGTCGCATTTCATCTTCTCGCGCTCGGCGAGCCACTTCTCGTCGATGCGAAAAATAAGTGGGGCCACCCTTCTGCGCGGCTTCGCTCTCGGGTTCCGCGGGGGCGACCCGCATCTTGAGCGCCAACGCGCGCGCGCGCGCGCGCGCGCGCGCGCGCCGCCTGTCGTTTGGCCTCGTCGGCTTTCGCGAGCTCCAGTGCCGCCTCTCGCCCATGTATTTGGGCCTTGAGCACATGGGCGTCGGCCTTGAGAGGACCCTCTACTTCTCGGTCATGCTGCGCCGAAGCCGCTTTCCATGCCCCCGAAGACGCATTGACTGCGCCCTCGGGGGACAGCGCCGGGGAACGCGCTTCCTGCTACTTGCTGAGATCGTCGCTGGGAAGACTCGCCAACAGAAGGGGTCGTTCGTGGCCCGCTGCGTCCGCTGGAGCAGCGCGATCGGTCTGGCCGCCCTTGCTCTTCCCGCCAGTCGGGAACGAGCTGGAGCTGCAACTGGTTGCCCTGGCTGAATGCTTCGGCTGGAGTAGCTTAAGTTGGCGTCTGCACCGCCAGAAGCGGCGGCCCCGCTCCAGCAGCATTGAGCTGCACTCGCTCTTGCCGCAATCGCTGCCCTTGGACCATGGCCAGGATGCGTCAGCTGGCGTCGGTTGGCCGATGCGGCCTCCCTTCCCGTCCGCGCCCTTGCCCTTGCCCCAGGCCCTGGCGCCGCCTCCGCCAATGGCAGCTAGAAAGAACGCCCGAAGCTTGCACAACCTCGTAGCCTGTGTAAGAATCGCCCATCGCAAGCCAAATCTCCCGCGCAATGGCTGACTGGCACGGAGGACTCTCGCCGTGCGCTGGCACGGCTGACTGGCTGGCCCCGAACACCTCGTGAAGGTGGCGAAGTCGGCCGTGAGCTGAAACGGTTCGGGCCGATGTGGCTTGAGAGGGGGAGGATGAGGAGGAGGAGGAGGAGGAGGAGGAGGAGGAGGAGGAAGATGAGGAGGAGGACGAGACGGAGCAGGAGGAGGAAGGGGAGGGGGAAGGGGAGGGGGAGGAGGAGGAGGAGGAGGAGGAGGAGGAGGAGGAGGAGGAGGAGGAGGAGGAGGAGAAGGAGGAGACGCGCAAAAATGACCTTTGGCACGAATGGCCCCAGGTGCGAGCTCACCAGGGGGGCCCCAGCACTGGCCCGCGAGGTTGCATTTGGGCCCCTCGCGGCTCCCCCAAGCCGCGCACCCCTGGGAACACCGAAGTTCCTCCCTACAGGCCCCTGAGAGCTGAGAGCCTTCCGGAAAGACCCCAAGAAGCGAACCTGAAGACTCTGGACCATGTCAGCGCCGTCGTCGTCGCCGGCCGCATGGCCTTTGCAATCCGATCGTTGGATGTCTGGAGAAGAGGTGGTAGAAGAGTTAGGTTCATGTCTTATCAGCGCGACGCTGATATCCCTGACTTGTGGGGGTCTCCACCCCTGCACATACACGGGGGCCCAGAAGTGCGGTGGCCAGCGGTGGCCGCAATCTCCTCCTCGGCTGCGAGCTGCCCTGCCAGGGCTTTTTACAATTGATTCCGCCCTGGGGTTGCCGCGAGGCCGTTCTAGGGCGGTGTCTTCTGCACCCCGTACTGCTTTTCCTGGCCTTCGGCCGAGGGCGTCTAGGCCTCCAGGCAGCTTTTCGCCATCAATAACAGCAAGGTGGAGAGTCAGGGAGAAGAATTCGGCTGGGACGGAGTTGAGGGTCGACGGCATCGGCGATGGCACAACACAGGGGACGTGCCGAGGCCTCTCGAAGCCTGGCGTGGCACTGGCTTGCCCTGGCTTCGGAGCGGGGGGAAGCACCGAGGAGGAGCGGGCGGAGGACGAGGCGAGGGCCTCGGCACGAGGGGCCAAGAGAGCGAGGCTGAGAAGAGGTCGGCGGAGGGCGAGGAGACGGGATGGCAAGGACGAGGATGACGAGGGACAGGGCGTGGCGGCGCAGGATGATGAGGAGGCCGAGGGATTCGTCTTTGGACATCCGCGGTCAAAGTCCCTTTCAAAGGGGTACTCAGAAGAAGGCTCGACTGAGACCCCGCCCCTCTTCGGGTGGAGACCTTTGCCAAGCCTTCTCCGGTGCTCGCTCTAGAGCGGATGAGCGAGCGGCGTGCGCTGTGCACCCAACTTTGATCACAACCCGTCCCGCCTATGCCTTGCTGTTGTGTTTGTTTGGCTTGCCCAATCGGGTGTAGGCCTCGAGGCTTGGCCCGTCGTCATCAACGCTGGCCAACGGGGTCGGGTAGCGCGAAGGGACCTCAACTCATGCTTGACTTGAGGTACGTCGCGCACGATCGTACGAACAGCGACCTGCAAGAAACAGGCACGAGGGGCCCAATGAGGCCTTCGGTGGAGCTCCCTGTGGAGCGACGAAGCGTACGTTTTTGTGTTCGATGCCCAGTGGCCATACGTTTCAGCATCGTAAATGGCTTCGACAGTCGGTTAGTCATTTCTTGTCATACACCCTATAACATATGAGTACATCTCGGCGGCGACGATAAGGGCGAATCGCCCAGGGGCGGGCATTACACGCATTCGCCCGGGAGCCTTTTCGAAGACAAAGTCCATCGGCGCACCTGAATACATGTATTGCTCTCCCCTGGGCTATTCACCCCTATCGTCGCATCTGAACATTTAGCTTGCCACGCTGCCAACCTTTGATTCTGCTTATTGCCGATATGAAAGATGTTCCATGTGAATGGGGTGTTGCGGGATGCGCTGGGGGCCCGCGTGCGCGAAAGTCCAGCTGATGCCTCAGCGGGCGCTCCCTGCGGGGCCAAGAGGGGTCGACGGGCGAGATGGGGGAACCATTTCCGGACGAAAACGAACGAGCGAATTCCGGCGGGCGAGCGACGATTATGAATTCTTTTATTGTATTTATTGTTCAATAGATGTCTCTGTTGTTAAATTCGTTTTGTCTTAATATGTTCCATCTATTGTTCCTTCTTTTTTTAAAGAACAAAGAGAGAGAACATATGTGTATATATATATATATAGATTATGCGACGATCTTCGCTTTTCCGAGCGATAAGATCCGGCAGGCCGAGCGGGGATGTGCTCTGGCGCGCAGGAAAGGTTCTTTGGCCACCGAAAGAATGTCCTCGGGCAAACGAGCAGTGTTCTCGACGATCGGGTGGGCAATTCCTGGAGGACCATCCCGACGCATCAAAAGCTGGAATCCGTTTATGGAAGCCTGAACTCGTCGTTGCAGCCGAAAACCCAATGCCCAACAAGAACGACGGGCCCTGTGAACACAATTGTTCCTCCAGCCCCCCTCCCACTTTAAACCTCTTTGCTTCGAGGTGCTCCCGTGATTTTGCAATCGGCCGTACCAGAGGGAACTTGGATGTGTCTGAACGTACCAGGGGGGAACCTCACAACACATCAAGAGGCTGGAAAACATCGATGAAAACCTGATCCCGTCGCTGCCGCCGAGTAAGCCCAACGCCCATCAAGGAACACCAGCCCTGTGAACAAAATCGTTTCTCCGACATCCACCCCCTTGAAGCCCCCCCGCTGTCTCGATAAACGGCGGAACTGTGAAGAAATCGAGACATCGGTTCGCTCTTAACTTGCCCGGGCAGCACGTGGACAAGATACGTAGGGTAACACGATGATGGCAACATCGACGCCAAACGAAAACAAACAACACATATACGCAATAAGCAATAAACATGCCAACACCTGCGCGTACTAAACGGCTAGGCTGCAAAGGGCAACCAACGGTAATCTAGTGAGACTACTCCTAGGTCCCCCGGGCAAGCGCGAAGTGCGGGCTGGGGTAAATGTGGTGTACATGTGGGGTAAATTTAATGTAACACGTGGTGTAAGGGTAAGATAAAAAGTGGTGCGCAAGTGGTGCAAAAGTGGTGCAACTGGTGTACGAGTGGCGAAACGTTGTTTAACATATGTATAAGAGTTGTGTAAGAGTGGTGTACGTGCTGTGTACATGCTGGGTCTGTGTCGGGCCTCTTCGCGTGATAAAAGAAATGGAACCACTGTTCGCGGTCAGCGGTCGCGACTCGCAGCTCGGCGAGCTGAGCGGCGCGCGGCGCGGCTCGACGCGGTGCGCGGCGCGGGACGGATTGCCGCCCCCCGAAGATTCACGAGCTTGCGCGGTCGGCCGCCCGCGCGGAACGGCGCGGCACGACGGGCAGAGCGGCGCGGCGCGGCGGGGTGGCGAGGCGCGCGCCACGGCGCGGCGCGGCCCGCGGGCTCGCGAATTGGCACCGTCGCCAACGCGTCGGGTGACGCTCGACGATGCAGGCAGCGATGAGCGGCGCAGCACGGCGCGCCGCGCTGCACGGCGCGGCGTGGCGCGCCAGCAGGCCCGCGGTTTCGCAAGCTGGTCGGACGCGGCCCCCCATAACTGGTGCGCCGTGGAGCCCCTCGGGCAATCGCTGCTCGAGGCATCAGACAGCAAGCGCAGCAAAGTGTGTTCATAAATATCTAATCATCAGGCGGCAACGCGCCGCGCCGCCAGACTTACCATATTCTTTCACGGCAAGAAAGAAATGCTCACGCTCCGCCATTCGCTGCCGTAACAAACCGTTACTGCACAACTCACGCAAGCACGCCTGCTCGCCCGCTCGCCCGCCTACCCGCCCGCCTGCCTGCCCGTGCGCGCGCCCGCACGTTTATTTCCGTGAGGTGGCAGCGCGGAAACGCGAAAACAAATCGTGCGTTGTTTTGCCCGTGACGGGGGAACACTGGTGCTATTTTACGAAGCTCTCCACGTAGCAAGGCCCGCAGCGGAAACACATCGTTCTACTCGTCACGTGGCAACGCCCGAAAAGGACAAACCAATATTATCCGCCTATGCCCCACAAGGGCGACAAGAAAAAAAAGGTTCGGCGACAACGACGACAACCGACGACGACGACGACGACTACGACCACGACGACAACCGACGAAGACGACGACGATGACAACCGACGACGACGACGACGACCACGACGATCACGACGACCACGGAAACGCCTTCGACAACGACTACGAAGACGGCGACGACGACGCGACGACGACTCGACGACGACGACGACGACGACGACGGCGACGACGGCGACGACGGCGACGACGACGACGACGGCGACGACGACGGCGGCGACGACGACCACCACACCAGCAGCGCTCGCGAGCCCGCCCGCCCGCTCACCCGCACCCCCGTGCGCTCGATCGTTTGCCCGCCCGCGGGCCCCACACCTCACCCGCCCGGTCGCCCGCGTGAACGCCCGCGCGCCCACCCGCGACCGCCCGCCGGCCCAGTCGCCCGCCGCCTCTCGCGCCCGCCCGCCCGCCCACCAACCCGCCCTCCCGCGCAACCGCTCGCTCGCGCAACCGCACGCCCGCGCGCCCGCCCGCCCGCGCGCCTGGCCCGCCCCCTCGCCCGCCCGCCTGCTTGCCCGTGAGGCCGCTCGCGCGCCCGCCAGCCAAGCAGACCCGTCGCCCGCTCGCGCCCGCACGATAACACGCCCGACCGCACGCCCGCCAGTTCACCCGCCCGCCTGCACGGCCGTTCGCTCGCGCGCCCGAGATCCCGAATGAACCGTCAGGGTTCCGACGGAAAATGTAGAAATCGGTCGAACACTTTCGATCCTGGGCTATGCTCGCGCATGGCCAGGAAGGTCAGCCAGCGGAGACAGGCCAAGACATAATCAAACCGATCGAACCAGCAAGACGCTCCACACAGATCACTCGCCTTACTTGTTGAAAACCTGCAAGTGGAACGGCCAAGCGGTCGAATTCCTGAATCGACGTGTCATGACAAATCGAAGCAGGCCGCTGCCGTACTTTGGAACATTCGAGCGCATCGAGTCCGCCCGTGCTCACCCGCGGTTCCCGAATTTGGGGTAGCATTGCTGGAGCGAGTCACGCCCTTGACCAAAACACTGAGGACGCCGAGCAACCCAGATGGCACCTAGGAAAGCCAGAGGAGGCGCCGCCCTCGAAAAGTCAGTCCGTGACGAAAGCATGAGTGAAGTATAACCCCCGACCGCCAAAGAAACTCGGGACACCTGCAGCCACCACACATCGAGTCCATGCCGCAACAAAAGCAGCTGCGAAGAGGAAACAGGCAACCAACCCCAAATGCGCTTTACCACATACAAGACAGGAACACACACGAGAACAGCGGGAATGTAGGAAGCGGAACTCACAAAACCCGCCCGCCCGACTTTAGCGAACTTCCGCGCGGGAAAGCCTCCGAACGCACCGAGGGGCTGGAAAACCTGGAACAACAGGCCAGATCGAGTCGCTTCCGATGAAGCCCAACGCCATCCTAGGACAAGAAGCCCTGTGACGAACATCGTTTCTTCGACCCCTCTCTCCCCTAGGGCCTGCCTGTCGGCATACAACGGAGCTACACATAAATCGAGGACGTGATTCGCCCCGAACTTGCCCCGTGAGCCCACATGAAACACCTCAAAACAAAGTGCCTGACCTAATGTCGACAACTCTATCCTTGGCGAGAGAGTCGAAGTCACCCAGGATGTTCAAATTTAGTTCGGAAGCCGTTGATATCGGCAGCGGGAACCGCACGCTGCGGGCACTTCGCGAAAGACACATGAACACCATGATGGGAAGTCAAAGCGGCAACCCGATGTTGACGACAGCGGCGCCAAACGATAACCACTACCACAAGTACTCAACAAATCTATGCCGCCATGAAAACGGCTGCACTTACCAAACCGACAGTCCACGGCAGTGGCAAGAACGCTAAGCAAGCCCGCTCGCTCGCCCAACCGCCCGCCTGCCCGCGACCCCGCACGACCGTTTAGCTTCGTCACGTGGCAACGCAGAAACCCGAAAACATATCATGTGTTGTTCTACCTATGACGGCGGCGAGCAAGAAACAGCATGACACTCGACTCGCCACGTGGCAACGCAAGGAGCGGAAGCACATGATTCTCCTCGTAGGGTGGCATCGCGCGGAGGGGCGGAACCAATAGTAAGACTCGACTGTCCCCCATGCGGGCGACAAAGAGGAAACGTTCCGGCGACGACGACGACAACACCAACGATGTCGTTGACGACGGAATAGCTCCCGCGCCCGCCCGCCCGCACGCTCAACCGCACACCCGCGCGCTCGATCGTTCGCTCGCCCACGCGACCCTTAGCTCGTCCGTCCGGTCGCCCGCTCGGTCGCCGCTCGCCCGC